CTTCGTTTTTCTCATCTACTATAGGAATTAAATGAGACAAAAACTGACAAATGATCAGCATGAGGCCTTGTGCACGGCAGTGCTCAGGAGATGTCAGCTATGATAATTTCGAAGACGATCATTTTGTGCTCTCAAGGGTAAAGAAGGTCACGCAGGTCAGGGCACATGTTCTGGTGGGTGGTGGGCCTGGACTCAGTTGAACAGTCTGCAGCATGGGACGACACTGACTGTCCTCAAGGAGTGGCAGGAACTCTAGGAAGGGGACTCACGTTTGTTAAGAACCTACCAACGTTGGCAGACGTCATGTCCTTTACATTTGCATCTGACCCATGAGGACAGGAGGCACAGGGAGGGTGAATACCTTCCCGAGGTCTCGCCACTGGAGGGCAGCAGATCCAGCGTCTGCCGCTGGGTCTCTTGGACCCCAGCCTGAGCCTTATCCATGCATCTCACACCTCTTTCCGGGGCTCTGAGTTCTGGTCGTGTTCCTCTTGCTGTAGCTCCACTGGTGTTTTCTTGGATAAGGCATCTCGTCTCTGCAGAGCCTCTGGGAGCCGTCTGCCCCCAGACTCTGCAGCAGCTGGCCATGTGTGCTGAGGGCCTCCGAGGGCACAGCTTTGGGCATTCTGCCACCCTGCACATAGTGGCTGTGGGTCCCTCTTCCTGGCTGGGCCCTCCATCCAGCTGACCCTCTTCCTCCTGGCCTTGGTCTTTCTGGACAGAGCCGAGGATACCTGGGCAGCTAACGTTCTCACCTGGGCCTGTGTCCCCCTCTCCATCGGGTAGGAAGTCCTACACTTTCAGCTGCTTCCGGCCTGGGGGTGCCCCAGCCTCACAGGCTCCACAGTGGGTAGATCCCAAGCCGGGGAAGGTTTTCAGGCTCTTCTATTCCCAGCTCCTGGGCTCAGTTCAGTGCAGTTCAGCAGCTGTTGTCTAGCACGTGGGCCAGTGCTCCAGACACTGAGATGAAAAGGTCATAGTCCAGTGAGGGAGATAGTTATAATAAGGGCTGTATGTGCCCCAGAATCACCTGTGCTCTCTGATAATAGACTCTCCCCTGAGCTACTGAACCTTGGGCCTGGGACACATGCATTTTGTCAAAGCTCCACAACCAGGCTTGGGAACCACTGCATGGGATGGGTCTGGCAAGGCCTCACAGAGGAGAAAGTGGATCTGGGTTTTGAAGGTTGAGTAAGAGTTTGCTGGCTGGTTGTGTGTGACAGTTCTACCTGAAGGGAACAAATAGCCTGAGCAAAAGGCCCAGAGATGTAAAGTAGGTCGGCATGGTCATGGGCCTGACAGCCCCTCATGAGGGCTGGAGCAGAATTCCCAGTCAGGCCAGGGGTGGGAGCTGCTGAGGCCAGAGAGGTGAGTTGGGGGGGGGGGGGGAGTGGGGAGAGTCATTGAGGGTCTGGCTTAGGCCCTGGACTTCCTTGTGAAAGTGTTGAGGAA